TAGTTTCTATATATTTATCTGGAGCCTTGTTTTTCACCAGTTCCTTCAGTGTAGCTTGGACTTCTTCCTTCAGTACCATTGGTTTTTGATCATATATGACCTTTCTGAAATAGTTGAATGTATGTGAGTTCTTTTTTGATACAATGACTCTGTGTATTCCTGCCATCTTCTTTTGATGCTTCCTGCATTGTTCAATATTTTGCCCATAGAATCCTTTAGTATTACAACTTGAGGCTTGAATTTTTTTCTTCAATTCTTTCAGCTTGAGAAATCTGAGTGTCTTCTTCCTCTTTGAGTTTCTAACTCCAGGTCTTTGCATATCATAGTACTTTGTCTTCTCAAGCTGCCCTTTGAAATGTGTTCAGCTCTTGGATTTAACAATTTCCTCCATTTGCTTTAGATACTCTGGTCAGGAGCAAGTTTCAGAGTCCTTTTGGCATCCTTTTTTTTTTTTTTTTTTCTTTCTTGTCTTTTTAATGACCTTTCCCTTTATGTATGATGTACTTGATGTCATCCAACAACTCATCTGATCTTTGGTCATTGATTTGATGGAAAACAAGGCTCCCAGAATTGACGGAATATCCAATGAGATGTTTCAACAAATAAATGCAACACTGGAAGTGCCCACTTGTTTATGCTCAGAAGATTGGAAGACAGCTACCTGGCCAGTGTACTGAAAGAGATCCATATTTGTGCCCATTCCAAAGAAAGGTGATCAAACAGAATGTGGAAATTATTGAACAATATCATTAATATCACAGTGTAAAATTTTGGTGAGAATAATTTAACAACAGTTGCAGTAGTACATTGGCAGGGAACTGCCAGGAATTCTAGCTGGGTTCAGAAGAGGACATAGAATGGAGGATGTCACTGCTGGTGTTAGATGAATCTTGGCTGAAAGCAAAGAAGACCAGAAAGATGTTTACCTGTTTTATTGGTTATGCAAAGGCATTTGACTCTGTGGACCATAACAAATTACGGATAAAATTGTGAAGAATCGGAATTCCAGAACACTTAATTGTGCTCAGAACCTGTATATGAACCAAGAGGCTGCCATTCAAACAGAACAAGGGAGTACTGTGTGGTTTAAAATTAGGAAAGGTGTATCCGGGTTGTACACTTTGACCATACATCTTCAGTCCATACTCTGAGCAAATAATCTGAGAAGTTGGATTATATGAAGAAGAATGTGGCATTAGGATTGGTGGAAGATT